TGGTTCCAATAATTCCTCAAAAATGTTGAAATCCATGTTACAAGCACGAAGAAACACAGCTAACTGAGCTACGCCTCCCATGTCCGTACTCGCGTCACAGGCGATGGAGAAAGCTTCGAAACTCGGTGATTTTGCTTCGAAACTCGGTGATTTTGCTTTGATCTCAATACGTATATTGTCGGCCAAATCAGTAAATTTCCGCAACTGTATTTTGAGACAAAGAGATTGTTGAAAAGACTTCCATTTCCAGGACAAACAGTTTCTGCAGCTTTAATGAGACATTCCTTGATGAAACCACCTTCAGTAAAAGGTTTCGAGTTTAGCTATCAACTCCGACAAGACGTAGCGCTTCACTCCCTTGTGATACTGCAGTAACCATGAGCTGTTGTTTTTTCAGTCCCAACTTGAGCTCTTTCAACTTTTCTTGTCCCGTTAATGCCTCATAATGATCATATTTTAATTTATGTTATAACTTTGGTACGCTAATAGCATTATTACATATCAAGCAGATTATTTTATTTTTTACTTCTCAGCAGAAATACTCCAATTCCCACTTTTCTTGGAAATTTCAATGTTCATCAGCAATTTTTCGTATATTTTTACTGCCACTCGATTTCGATAGAGACATGCTGAATGCCAAGGGCTGAAAAAATGAGTCATCGTGAACATAAAATAATAGAACATTTTAATAAAAATTAATATTTTTTCTTGAACATTAACTTACCAGACACTGAATAACTACACAAATTAGTAAGAGTCATGCAAATAAACCTATGTTTCTTGTTCTCCGAAAGCAAAATATTTCCTGTTGCGCACACCAAACAAGTCAGTTCAAGACTAATGATGTGGCAATTGGCTGCTAAAATATTCGCTGCTAATATTAGTGGAGAGAAATGGCGCGTCTGCGCATAAGGCATGTAAGGGAAATGAGTGCAACACGATTATAGCAGTCAGTCATTAGCGAACAATGTAGTTTGTTATTAATAATTAGTGGCCCAGCGCACAGGTTCATGTACATTTAAAGGAAATTAATTAGAAGAAATATTTTAATATCACTATTTGCCCTTTCTCTATAATAGAAGTGTCAGAGATGAAAGAAAATTAGTAAAATGTATATGAAAATAATATATAATTTGCCCTAACTGGTTTGGCTCAGTGGATAGAGCCTCGGTCTGTGGACTGAAAGGTTCCAGGTTCAATTCCAGTCAAGGGCATGTACCTTGGTTGTGGGCACATCCCCAGTAGGGGGCAGCTGATCAATGTTTCTCTCTCATTGATGTTTCTAACTCTCTATACCTCTCCCTTCCTCTCTGTAAAAAAATCAATAAATATTTTTAAAAAAGAAAATAATATATAATTTGATCAATAAATAAACAATAACAACATGATATAACAACAAAAACATGATATAAATACAACAAAAACATGATATAAAAACAATATTGATTAAAACAATGACTGATAAATTGATGAAACTTATTCTAATATCTCTCTGTGCACCACATTAAGAGTAAAAACACTTTCAGAGTGCTTGACTAATTTCCCTTGTGATGAAGTATTTACAACTTTAACTTTAACATCACATGCTCTTTGAACTCAAGAGAAAGCAACATATAACTGACCATGTGCGAAAATGGGTTCAGGTAGGACTATTCCTACCCTGTCTAGAGTTTGTCCTTGTGATTTATTAACAGTCATCGCAAATGCTGGCATCACGGGAAACTGTCTTCGAATTAACTTAAACAGTGTCAGACGGGTACAAATCAATTCTTGGAATCAGAACAACCTCGCCTTCCACAGATCCTGTTAATACTTCAGCTCTGATTATGATAGGTCACAATTTTTTGATAATAAATCTAGTACCATTACAAAGAACCCATTTACTATTGAGATTTCTCAATAGGATGATGATTGCACCTACTTTCAATTTTAAGTTATGACACAGCATTCCCGAAGGAGTAATATTATTAAGAAATTCAATGGGAAGATTTTTGTTTTTGGCAACATCCATTGAATCGATGGAATCATCACTCAAATAGGTGTGAATATCTCCATTGAGTATATCCAAAATTTCTTAATTTAATTTATGAGTATGCTCATTTTTTGGATAAAGAAATGCACATTTATATATTTTTTAATTTAATATATATTTTTTATTGATTTTTTTTACAGAGAGGAAGGGAGAGGGATAGAGAGTTAGAAACATCGATGAGAGAAACATCGATTAGCTGCCTCCTGCACACCCCCTACTGGGGATGTGCCCGCAATCCTGGCATGTGCCCTTTGATCGGAATCAAACCCGGGACCCTTCAGTCAGCAGGCCAACGCTCTATCCATTGAGCCAAACTGGTCAGGGCTATATTTTTAATATTACCTAGAGATACACTTTTTCCAAAGGTAGCTTCAATAATAGATCCATTACAAATCATTTCACGGGGGATTTCAATAATATCCATTCAGCCAAAACCGGTTTGGCTCAGTGGATAGAGTGTTGGACTGTGGACTGAAAGGTCCCAGGTTCGATTCCGGTCGAGGGCATGTACCTGGGTTGCGGGCACATCCCCAGTAGGAGATGTGCAGGAGGCAGCTGATCGATGTTTCTCTCTCATCGATGTTTCTATCTCTCTATCTCTCTCCCTTCCTCTCTGTAAAAAATCAATAAAATATATTAAAAAAAAACAATAAAAAAAAATCCATTCTGAGAGCTTTATATGCATCACGCATGCGCGAGTCAGCATTTATTTTTAAATTGCCAGTGTGCGTCGTATGTACTGGCCGGCCAGTCAGTCAGACGGTCAGCCAGGCAGTCGGTCAGTCATTAGCCTTTTATATATATAGATTATGTATAACAGGATATTGTAACAATTAAGTTATGAAATTTTTATTAAAACGTTTCTTACATACTGTTATATTGACTGGGCCGCAAAAATATTTGTTGTGGGCCACATGCAGCCCGCGGGCTGCAAGTTTGACATGCTTGCTGTACACCATTATTTCTGTAGTGACTCGGTGAACAGCAATAAGTCCTCTGTGGTTCCCACCTCCTGGTATTCATACCACTCCGCAGTCTCTTCTCACTCTGAGTAGGGCTGACCTGTCCCAATAGGATAAGGTAGAAATGACAGTGTGACTTTTGAGGCTAAGCGGTAAAGACGTTGTGGTTTCCATCTTGCTCCCGCCTACAGCACTCATCCTGGGGGAAACCAGCCATAGATAATAGGGACTCCAGGAGGCTGTGGGGAGAGGTCAGACCTAAGTCCCAGTCCTCTGTACTAGTTTCCTATTGCTGCTGTAACCAGTTACTACACACTTAGTGGCTTAAAATAACATGAACTTATTATTTTACAGCTTTACAGTTCAGGAGTCTGACAGGGGTCTCACTGGGCTAAAACCAAGATGTCAGCAGTTCCTTTCTGGAGCATTTAGGGGAGAATCCATTTCTTTGCCCGTTCCTGCCTCTAGCAGCCTCCCCTATTCCTTAGCTCATGACCCCATTCCTCCACCTTCAAAGCCAGCACATTGCATCCCACTGTGCCTTTCTTCAGTCGTCACACCTCCCTCTGCCTCTCTTGTTCTGCATCCCTTCTTCACTGTAAGGAACCCTTGTGATTACATTGGACCCACAGGATAATCCCTTTGTTTTAAAATCAGCATATTAGCCCTGGCCGGTTTGGCTCAGTGGATAGAGCGTCGGCCTGCGGACTGAAGGGCCCCAGGTTCGATTCCGATCGAGGGCATGTACCTTGGTTTCGGGCACATCCCCGGTAGCGGGTGTGCAGGAGGCAGTTGATGGATGTTTCTCATCGATGTTTCTGGCTCTCTGTCCCTCTCCCTTCCTCTCTGTAAAAAATCAATAAAATATGTTAAAAAAATAAAAAAATCAGCATATTAGTGACCTTAATTCCATCTTCCACCTTAGTTCCCATTTGCTATGTAACCTACACACTCACAGGTCCCAGGGATTAGGATTAGGACATGGATGTTTGTGTGGCTGTTGCTCTGCCAACCATGCTGTCTGGAAGGAGAGGAGCTGGCCTGAGAAGGAGCAGCCAGGAAAAGGAGGTGGGCCGGCAGGAGAGGGACATGTCACAAAAGCCAGAGGAAGAGAGAGTTCCCAGGAAGGGGTGCACTGCAGTGACTAACACTGTTGGGAGGTCAAGCCTGATAAGAATTAAAAAATATCCGTTGGAGTTGGTGTCCTGATGACACCAGCCATTCGTTGGGGTAGTTTTGGGGGGCAGGAGCTAGTTTATGGTGTCCTGGGCAGCAAGGTAGGAGTGAGTAAGTGTGAGACTAAGAGTGTAAAATCTTCCCAAATACTTGATTGTAAAAGAAAATTTGCTGCTGTTTCTAAAATAGGAAAGAGAAGCACATTTCGATGCAGATGAGAAGGAAGGAGAGGTATAGCAGCGATGGGTATAGATGCGGTATCTGTGAAGGGGAGAGTGCCGCTAGCCCACCGAAAGCCTCGAAAGGAGGGACTGTTGGATTGACCCAGGCTCAGAGTTAGCCAGGCGGGCGCCAGGATAGCCCAGAGGTTAGGTTACCATCAAGGGTGTGCTGAGATGGTAACTGGGAATTTAAGGAGAGAAAGAGAGACCGGCCGGCAGGGGGCGCTGGTGAGGCAGGGAGGGATTGCGGAGCAAACTAAGGCTATTGTTGTATTAATGGTATCTGAAATAATTTTAGGGAAAATGCTTGGTTCTTGATTGGATCGCACCACTCGCTGGATTTCCTGATCCGCTGGTCTCTAGGTCCTGGATGTCCCAATGCTTAGAACAGGGCTTGTCACAGAGTAACCGCTATATACCGTTAGCTGTAATTGATATACGTAAGTACCTGTTAAAACGCCGCAGACTCCATTTCCCTTGAGGCATTGCGGCCGCTGGGACTACAACTCCTAGAATGCCTGGCGGGCCGTCTAGTCCGTGAGGGCCTTTAATCGGGTTTTCCAGTCCCGGCATTCCTTGCCGTTTCCCTACCTCGCCAGCAAGCCTATCCGGTCCTAGGAAAACCCAGTTGGGTCCGGGAGTGCGAGAGCCAGCCCGCGCTCGCGTCGACAGGCGGGGAGGGTGTGGCCACCTCTTGCCCCGCCCCTGCTCCGTGGCTGATTCTTTCGACCGGCGCATCGGGCGGGACGCCGAGACATGGGCACTACGTGGGGCAGCCCCGGGTGGGTGCGGCTGGCGCTCTGCCTCGCGGGCTTAGTGCTCTCGCTCTACGCGCTGCACGTGAAGGCGGCGCGCGCCCGGGACCGGGACTACCGCGCCCTCTGCGACGTGGGCACCGCCATCAGCTGTTCGCGCGTCTTCTCCTCCAGGTGCGCGTGGGAGTGGAAGGCTTGGGGCACCGGGCTGTTCGTGGGAGCGGTGCGTGGGGACCAGGTGTGCATGGCGGCCAGGTTGCCAGGTGGTTCTGGAGCAGATGCATGGGGACCGGCTGCTCCAGGGGACACTGCCCAGCGAATCGGGTGTGTCCGAAAGGAATGAGGGGCCGGATTCGGGGGGAGGAGGGGGTGTGTGTGTGCAGATATTGCTGGGGACTATGGTTATTCTTGGGAGTAGCTCGTGGATCTGGATTCCAAGGAATAACGGTGACCAGGCAGGAGGGGGAGGTAATGTGTAGGGACCCATGCTGGTCATGAGGATGGCCGTGCCTGGGGATAAGGTGGCCAGGTCTGGCTATGCTTGAGGGCCTGGGGTCAGTGGGATGACCGAATACAGAGGAGGCAGTGGGCGGCCAGGGAGGTGGAGAGTTAGGGGTCCAGGCCAGAGAGATTCTACCCCGGATTCCCAGTCTCTGGTAACTGTAAAGCAAGGTCAACTGTTATTTCCCACCATGCCATCTTAGAATTATTGAGGTCTAGGATGAAAAGAGGGGCCTAAGGGGGAACCTTGGCCAGGCCTGGCCTGGGAATGGGGGAAGATAGGAGCAAACACATGGAGTCCTGACGTGGCAAAGGGAAGCTTCACCAGGAGGTCATCGACCCTTGGCCTCAAGCTGAGTAGGGAAATGGCGACATAGGGAAGGAGGACAGCCGGCTGGCTTCTATTTAAAAAGAAATATATACAATTTAAATAAATAAACAAATATATATATGTATATTATTATATATGTTATATAATATATATATATAATATATATATATTTAAATTCATTTCGGAGAGGAAGGGATGGAGACAGATATAGAAACATCAGTGATGAGAGAGAATCATGGGTCATCTGCCTCTTGGGGGTGAGCTCACAATCCGGGAAGTGCCCCGACCAGGAATCATAGGTCTAAGCTCAACCATTGAGCCACACCAGCCGGGTCAAGTGGCTTCTGGGAAATCGCCCCTCCAGGACAGGGCCCAGGGTTGACAACACTCCTCACCTGGGCCTTCCCCTCCACCAGGTGGGGCCAGGGCTTCGGGCTGGTGGAAGCAGTGCTGGGTCCAGACAGTGTCTTCAATCAGTCCAACAGCATATTCGGATGCATCTTCTACACACTGCAGCTGTTGTTAGGTAACTGGCCCGCCCCCCATGGCAGCCCTTCCTTTCCAGCCCCATTGCTTGCAACCTCGGGGCTCTTAGAGCTGACGGGGGTGGGAACTAATAGGAGCCTTTCAGTTGGTCTTGGAAGTGTCAGAGCCAGAAGGACCCTTAACCACTTCCGAGGGCACCAGTTTTGTTGGAAAGACTCGGGAGTTCTTTTCTGGGGGAATCTAAGGGTTGTTTGTCTTTCGTCTCATGTGGATGACGTTTCAGTAGGAAAATTCACTATTTGGGTCCCAGGGATCATTGCACGGAGAGGAAAACCAAGGCCTTGATGGGGCCTGTCAGACCCTCTGATGTTAGAGATTTCCCCAGCAGCCCCTGCTGCCTGGGTGGCACCAAAGTCGTGGCAGTTTCTAGAGGTGGCTTGTCCCTGAAGCCCATGTTTGACCCTTTTCTTCCTCGCAGGTTGCCTCCGGGGCCGCTGGGTGTCTGCCCTGCTGCTGCTGAGCTCCCTGGTGTCTCTCGCCGGCTCCGTCTACCTGGCCTGGATCCTGTTCTTTGTGCTCCATGATTTCTGCTTTGTTTGCATCACCACCTATGCCATCAACGTGGGCCTGATGGTGCTCAGCGTCCGGGAGGTCCAGAGACCGCAGGGCAAGGTCAAGGGGCACTGAGCCCTCACTGACCTCTTTGCTCTGCTTTGGTGTGTCAGCTTTGCCAAAGGGGAGCACGCCTGGGTCCTAGAGGAGTGTACAGCCCACCTCCACCATACTCCCCATGCAGGACAATGGACCAAATGTGCCACACTCTTTCCTCCACCTGGTGCCTCTGGCTCTGTCCCCAAGGATTGATTTCCAAAGCTCCTGCCTTTGCCCCAGGAGGGAAGGTTCTGAGCAATAAAATTTCTTAAATTGGTTAAGTCTGAGCCACCTGTCTGCCACGGGCCCTAACTCTTGCCTCCTCTGGGACTGGAAGGATGGGAGTTGGAGGGAGAGTGGGGGTTCTGCTTGGGAAGGGTGGTTAGTTCCTTCTCCACAGCCTTCATGTGGAGTCAGCAAGACCGGGGCGCCCCCAGCCGCAGGAAACAGGCTGGCAGCCCGCTGCTGCCCACGGGTGCCCGGCCTCCTCTCCTGTGAGGGCCACGCACGCACTTGTAAGAACAAGCTGCCCTCTGGTTCTGTGCATGTCTGCTGGGAAGTTCTTATAGTGTAACCTTAACCCTTCTGGCTGCCTTATCGACCACCCCAAGACAGTCTTGGCAGCTCTGAAGGGCCAGGGACAGGTTGTGTTTTTGATTTGTTTTTCCTAATATGTACTGAGCACTTACCTGCATGCCAAGCACTGTTTAAGACCATGACATGTGTCAACTCATTTAATCCTTCTGGCAATTTCTATGAGGTAGGTACTATTATTATCCCTGTCTTGATGAGGAAACTGAGGCACAGAGAAGCTAGGTAATTTGCCTAAGATCACACAGCTAGTGTCTGGAAGGGGGTTAGGAAGCCCTCGGGGTTTTAACCCACCAGGGGCATCTGGCTGCAGCGTCTGTGTTGGGGTCAGGGTTCCTGAACAGTCTGGGCTGGCCTGAGCTAGACGTCAAGAACAGGAAAAGAACGCACCCTGAATGTTCTCCCTCCTGAGCGAGTCTTCCGACACCTGCGAGAAAGGTGGGCACGACTGTACCCCTGCCTGCCTGCCTGCCGGGAAGGGGGCAGGCCCAGAGAGGCGTTGAGATTTGCCAGTCTCTCGGCTAGCTGGTAGCAGAGCCCTGGCCCCTTGACTGTCAGCCCTGAACTCACTATCTGAAGCAAGACGGGAGAAGGTGTGTGAAGTCCACTTGGACCTGGGCCTGGGTGAGAGGTGCGGACACTGAAAAGTGAGAACAAGGAGGGCTTACCGTGGTGTCCTTTAGTTACAGGAGAGAGCTTCCATGCTGGGAGAGGTTGAATCTATGCCAGGCTCTGGTCTAAGTGTTTTTAAATTGGCATTTTCTGAGTTTTTCAGACAAGGCACAGGCCGGCTAAATGTCCAAGGTCACTCCAGTAGTACGCGGGGGAACTGGCCTTTGAACTCGGTCTGTGAGCTCTTGGTCATGGCCCAGAGAGGGGTGGTGAATAGCCCAGGGTCACACAGCCCCAGAACCAGGAGCTACTGGCTTCCTTCCAGCCCAGGAAAAGCAATGACACCTGACTCCTGGCCAACTCCTGGGGGTGGAGCAGAGGTGGAGCTAGTGAGACCCGGTGGCCTGAGAACCACAGCTCAGGTGGCAGAGTGGCCCGGAGCAGCATGAGGCAGAGCTGGGGACCAGGGCTGCTGCTCCTGGGAGCCGTGGTCCTCATAGAGGGTGAGCCACCTGTGTTTGAGTGGGTGGGGGAGTGGTATGGTGGGGGTTCAGGGGCCACCCTCTGCCCAGCAGCCCCTGCAGCTTGGTGCGTGTGAGGAAGACTGCCTGTGGGGTGTCAGTCCGCCGGTGGTGATACAGCCATGTCTGGCTGTATCGGGGGACATCTGTGTGTCTGTCTGTGTCAAAAAGGGTGTGATATTCTTGGGCTGGAGGAGTCTGTCTGCAGGGCTGTCAGCGCCTGTGTGTGTTCCCCGTGCCCCTGTCTGCTCCTCTACCTCCAGCAAGACCTTAGGCAAGTTCTGAGGCCTTTAGCCTCAGCCTCCCAGGCTTTGCCTCTGTCCCCTCTCTCCTGGCTCAGATGTGCAGTGGGTGTGTCTGCGTGTGCCTATTACGGGGAATAGGCAGGGCAGGAGACTCTTTGGTTGAGTCTGACAGTTTCTGGAAAGGTGGGGGAGTCTGAGTCGTCAAAATGGGTGGACATGACGCAGGCCTCTAATCCTTCCTCCTCGGCCTCCATGGCTGAGGGCACAATTAAGCTAATGCTCTCCACACTCACAGACTGCCTCCTGACTCAGTGGCGGGGGCAGGAGTTGGGGTTCTGAAGCGTGGAGGAGGGCTGGCCTGGTCCCAAGCTGAACCCCAGGCCCTGCTCCTCGGGCCTGGGTGCTGAGCACAGCTGAGGGAGGAGAGTTAATTACCGAGCAGATGCTCTGAGTAGGTTCCAATAAAAGCTGTTCCTGGACCACACATAAATATTTTCATTCTGGGAGGGGCTGGTGAGGTAGCCACAGAGTCATAGGCAAGGGCCCAGGGCCTATCCCCCAACCTGTCCCCTCCACCAAAGCTGGGCCAGCCAGGTAAGGCTCCCCCAAGTCTCACCCGTGTCTCTCTCTTCCCAGGTCTTCAGGCAGCTCAGCGTGGTAAGCTCTGGGGACACGGGGCTTGGGCCTTCCCGGGGTCTGGATGGACCCTGCGTGAGGACAGGATGGGGGCCTGCTCTCCTGACCCACCTCTCTCCACAGCCTGCGGGCAGCGCGGCCCTGGCCCCCCTGACCCTCAGGAGGGCAGCACAGGGCCTGGCGAGTGGCCGTGGCAGGCCAGTGTGCGGAGGCGGGGGGTGCACATCTGCAGTGGCTCCCTGGTGGCGGACACCTGGGTCCTCACGGCTGCCCACTGCTTTGAAAAGTGAGTTGTGGCTGGGCTCCGACAGGGCTGCCGACCTTGGCGGGGGGGGGGGGGGGGGGTGGGTGATGTGTCCCCAAACTCCACAGTGCTGATCCCTGCCCTTAGAATAACAAAGGACTGTTTACTGAGACTCTGCGATGTGCCAGGTTCTTACTATCAAGTTGCTCTTAACAGCCTTCATGGCAGAAGCCTTACAAAGGAGAAACATGTTGGGAGAAGGAAAGGCCTTGCTTAAAGCCACAGATGGTATTTGTCCGTTCACCTACCTTCGGTCTTCCCTGGTGCACTGTCCCCCTCTGCACTCCATGCCTGGGCCTCACCCCTCTCTTTCCAGAGCGGCAATGACAGACCTGAGCTCCTGGTCAGTTGTTCTGGGCTCTCTGCAGCGTGAGGGGCTGAGCCCCGGGGCTGAGGAGATTGGGGTGACTTCTCTGCAGCTGCCCAGGGCGTACAACCACTACAGCCAGGGCTCAGACCTGGCCCTGCTACGGCTCGCCCACCCCACAGCCCACACACCCCTCTGCTTGCCCAGACCTGCCCATCGCTTCCCCTTTGGGACCTCTTGCTGGGCCACTGGCTGGGACCAGGACATTAGTGATGGTAAGTGCTACCCCAGCCTGAAGCCCAAAGAGGCAGTCCTCTTGCCCAAAGTCACAGCCTCAGCTGGCAACGGTCTCTGCTTCTAGTCCTCCTTGCTCCCCAGAGCCCAGACTCCAGCCCCAAGCCCGTCTTTTTCCAGCTCCCAGGATCCTACGGAATCTGCGCCTGCGTCTCATCAGCCGCCCCACGTGTAACTGTCTCTACAACAGGCTGCACCAGCGGCTGCTGGCCAGCCCGGCCCGGCCTGGGATGCTGTGTGGGGGTGCCCAGCCCGGGGTGCAGGGGCCCTGCCAGGTCTGAAGGGGAGGAGAGGGGAAGGAAGCAGAGGGGAGGGGGCCTGGCGCAGGGATGGGTGGAAGGGCTGCAGAGGATGTCTGCCCAGGGCTGGGCTCAGGTGTCTGTCCTTGACTCCATTGCCTGCTCCAGGGAGATTCTGGGGGCCCCGTGCTGTGCCATGAGCCTGATGGACACTGGGTTCAGGCTGGGATCATCAGCTTCACGTCCAGCTGTGCCCAGGAAGACACTCCCGTGCTGCTGACTGACACGGCTGCCCACAGCTCCTGGCTGCAGGCCCGCGCTGGGGGCGCAGCCTTTCTGGCCCAGAACCCAGAGGCCGTGCAGCTCAGTGATGAGGACAGCTGTGTAGGTACGCGCAGAGGCTGTTAAGAGTGTGATATGTGGGGACAACCAGGCTTGTGAGGACTCCTGGGCAGCAGGTGGAAGCCACAGTGAAATAAATTTCAGTTTGCAATAGAGAATTGATACAGGGCATCCACAAACTGCCATATGCTAACTAGGGGGATTTTAAGGCCCACCCCTGAGTCCCTAGGATGGGAACAGCCCCATTTAGGGCTGAGATGTTCCAGAACTTTCTGGGTTTGGAGTTAGGTAAGAGGGACCTGTGATCTAGCTGAAGGTTTTGGGGCCTTGCTGCACGTTTCCAAGCAAGGACCCAGTGAGACTCGACAGGGCAGGGCTGCCACTCAGAATTCTAGCGTAAGTGATTAACACACAAATTGCATGCAAAATAATTCCTGGGACGGAAGCTATGTCTTGATGGTAAGAGAAGCCTGAGTGAGCCAGGAATGCTGGAGCCAGTCCAAGCCCGGAGGGGTGCAGACAGGTGGGGCGGAGGGATGATGAGCAGGCCACTCCCTTGAGGCTGGACCATCAGTTCAAAGCTTAGGCCCTGGCTTTTGAATATCAAATCTGCTACTTACCTGTAGTTATTGAGCTAGAAAGTCACTTAACCTTTCGGGAACTTTGGTTACAGGGGTAACAAAATTCAACTTAAAAGGTCGTTGTGAGGATTAGATAGTATGTGGGAAGCACTTAGCAAGAAGGCAGTTGGTAATCCATCCGTTTCAGCCTGCGGATCCTTGAGGGGAGAAGGTCCCCAGGCAGAAGCCCCCTCCCCATGGCCCTGGGATGCCAGGCTGAAGCACCAGGGGAAGCTGGCCTGTGGCGGAGCCCTGGTGTCAGAGGAGGTGGTGCTGACTGCAGCCCACTGCTTCATTGGGTGAGCCCTGTCTCCCTCACCTTTGTACACCCCCCTACCCCACCCTCCCGCCCCCCGCCGCCCAATGCTGTCAGTGCTGTCTCTGCACAGGCGGCAGAGCCCAGAGGAATGGAGCGTAAGGCTGGCGGCCGGACCAGAGGAGCACAGCCTCAAGCAACTCATCCTGCATGGGGCTTACACCCACCCCGAGGGGGGCTACGATGTGGCCCTGCTGTTGCTGGCCCAGCCGGTGACATTAGGCCCCAGCCTGCGGCCCCTCTGCCTGCCCTATGCTGACCACCGCCTGCCCGATGGGGAACGTGGCTGGGTCTTGGGGCTGGCCCGCCAAGGAGCAGGTATGTAGGACCGGGCCAGCGGCAGCTCTCCATCCAGCCTCGAGGCCACTGGGGCAGTCGGGTCTTTCCCTCCCCCCACCACAGGCACCAGCTCCCCTCAGACAGTGCCTGTCACCCTCCTGGGGCCTAGGGCCTGCGGCCGGCTGCATACTGCCCTCGGGAGCGATGGCACCCCTATTCTGCCAGAGATGGTGTGCACCAGTGTTGTGGGTGAGCCGCCCCGCTGTGAGGTAAGCTCCAGTCCCCCAAACCTTACCCCACAGTCCCCTGGCATCCTCAGCCTGCAGCTCATGTACAGGCCCGCCGGGGTTGGCCTCCCGTCCTGCCCCTCATCTCAAGTTCAGCCTTTCTGCCCCTAGCCCCTTCTGCCCCTCACAACTGCTTAGGGGTAAGAGGAAGTCACCCAGTGTCACTGACCCTGGCAGGGCCTGTCTGGGGCACCACTGGTGCTTGAGGTGAGGGGCACATGGTTCCTGGCTGGGCTACACAGCTTTGGCGATGCCTGCCAGGGCCCCGCGCGGCCTGCAGTCTTCACAGCGCTCCCCACCTACGAGAACTGGGTCAGCAGTTTGGACTGGCAGGTCTACTTCTCCAAGGAGCCCGAGCCCGAGCCCGAGCCCGGAAGCTGCCTGGCCAATATGAGTATGTGGCCCTGGGGCCTTCTGCTGACTCTTCCCTCTCCAGACCCCTCTCTCTGTAAGATCTGATCTGAGTCACCTCTAGATACCCTGAGTGGGGTGGAGCGGTAGACAGACCCATCTGGATTCAAATTCTGTCATCGTGTGACTTGGAACAGGCCTCTCAACCTCTGAACCTGTTTTCTCATCCCCCGTGGGGGCTGTGTGGCACCTCCTTCCTCCTCCTTCCAGGAGAGTGTGAGGACGAGGCCACCACCCACCTCTTCCTCTCCCACAGGCCAACCAGCTGACTGCTGACAGGTAGCTCTGGGATGCTGCAAACACATCACTGCTTCTGCCCCTCTCCATTCCCCCCACCCACACAATTCCAGCAACTGGGCAGGCCCCAGAGCCCAGTGGATTGGCAGCTGCCCCGCCTCCCCCCTGCAGGACAGGGACTTGCCACCTGTAGATGCTCCCGCTCTCAGCTCTGCTGTCGACGCAGGCGTCCGCTTTCCCCTCTTCATCGCTCACATATAACCACACCAGCCACATTCTTGGAAAATTTTCTTTTTTGGCGGGGGGGAAGGGGAATGGTGGTGCAATTTTCCTTTTTTTAAACTTAAATAAATTGTTACAAAATAGACTTTAGAAAATAAGTTACAAATTGTAGCAAAAGCCCCCCTTCCCCCCTCCACAGGCAACATTCCTATCCCTGGCTCTCTCTGAATCTGCCTCCCTGGTACTGGAATCTGGTGGGTGAGGGTGGCCCCGCATCCCGGAGACCCTGGCACCAGGTTTCTTGTAGGACGAGCATAATGAATTGCATGGTGACCAAGGCTGGGGAAAGAGGCCCTTCACGGACAGGGACATGGGAAAGAAGCCAGGGGAGAGGAGAGATGGGGATGCCCAAACTACTCCTGAGTAGAACATGGAGGTCAAACCTTTCCCTGCAACCTGCACTCTTGCCCTGTATTGATCTTTGGAGAATTGAAGTTCAGAGGGAGAAGCTGAGATCTGCAGGCCACTGGGGTGAAGGGTCCAGAAGTGGGGTCGTGGGGGTAGGTGGAGGGGGCAATGACAGGCCTGCTGCTGGTGCCTTTGAGGCTCCTGGGGAGAGAGAAGGTACTGACTGAGGGGGCACACTCCATACAGCTTGTACTCCCCTCCCCAGCCCTGCCCATGGCCCGAGGAACCTGTAGGAGAGCCCTGTCGCCCTAAGACTTCCACTGGGTTTCCCAGGCTTGGCTAACTGGCTCCTCACTCGTTCCCTTAAGGTTACAAGAAATCTCTCACCTTGAACGCCATCTCATCAGCTCTCTTAGGGGACTCTCAGCCACCACCCCCTCCTTCCCTGACAATTTCTGGTCAAGGGCCCGCCATCTCAGGGCACCCATCCTTGGTGGCCACAAAGTGGAGTGGGTTCTGGGAGATCTCTAGAGGCGAAGCGAGCAAGCCAGCGCTTGCTGGGGGAATAGGCTGTCCCACTCTTCCAGCTCATCTCCCAGCTTGGCTGGGTGGAGGTGACTCCGTGGAGATTCCCCGATAGAGAAGGGTGATAGGGCTAATGATTGTTGTTACTACAGCTGGGCCTGGCTTCAAAGGAACTATCATCTGTGACTCAGCCCTCCAGTTAAAGGTGTGCTGGCGGTAGGGGGTGTGCAGGTAGAAAGGGTGGTTTGGTTGGATCCTAAAAAGCATACACAGCAGATAGAGAAAAGGGCTGAATAAAGAGAAGAGACGTGGGGCAATACTGGTAGGAAAGGACCAAAGGTCTAGCTTCCAAGAAAAGCGGAGGGGAGCAGAGACCAGATGCAGGCAAACAGGGACAGGGAGCTGGGGGCCTTCAGCGGCCTAGTTCTCTGGCCAAGTCAGCACTGAAGCCACAAAGTCCAGTCTGGGGGTGCCTCCCTCAGCCCATTCCTCATTCCCTGACTCCCTGCCTACTCTAGGGAAGAGCAGAACCTAGATCATCTTTTCCCCTGGGAGTCATTACTGGCTGGATCAGGGTTTCCAGATGTAGCAGCCAGATGGTACCCAGCTGCCTTCCCTCCCAAAACGAAGACTCCTCTTTGGCTCAGGCACGGCAGAGGAGCCCAGGCAGTGGCCTCTGCCCCTGCCCACTCCTTATCCCGCCCCACCATGCTATCTATTTACCTGACCCAGGGGTTCAGGCCTAGGCCGCTCAAAGGGCAGCATCTTCAAACTAGTTTTCTCATTCCATACCCAAGCTTCTGGTCACCTCTGGGACCCATAGGACCCTTTCCTCTCACTCCTTGCTTCCCCACTACCTTGGGGCCAGATTTTGCCCTCCACTGTATGCCCACCTCCTCTGGGATCCTTCAATCCTCTGCCCATTCATATCCCCGTACCAGAGTTGGCCACTGTCTGTTCCTCCTGGTGCTGCTGCTGGTGCTGCAGAAAGCTGATGTGGCGGCGGAAATGGCGGGGACAATGGGGGCAGGTGAAGGGCCCCTCCTGGGGTGCATGGACCCGCCCGTGGCCCTCCAGCCGGGCAGCTGTCCGGAAGGCCTTGCCACAGATGCTGCAGCGATGGCGTTTGGGGTCCGTGTGGGTCCTGCCATGGTTCTTAAGAGAAAGCAGGTTGGGTAGAAGTTTGGGACAGAGGGAGCAAGGATAGAGTCCAGTGGTGTGGGCCTTCTGGTGGTTCAACAAGCTACCAGCGTGGCGGTATGAACGCCCACACTGGGCACAGCGGAAGGGCCGGTCCTCATCTTCAGCCACTGTGGACTTCACTCCCTGCCCTTCTTTAGCTCTCTCAGTATTCTCTCCTGGGGCCCGGGGGGGATCTGTTGGGGCCTTCTGGGCTTTCCCTTGCCCAGCAACATCTACCTCGTCCTCCACAGTCCCAGCTTTGGGGCCTCTGGCTTCCTCTATTTGGGGTGGTACCTGACTGAGGCCCTTGGCATGAGTTTGCAGGTGGCTGGCTAGTTCATGTTGGAACGGAAAGGTTTTGCCACAGTCACGGCAGGCAAAGGTCTGGGAAGATCCGTGGTTGTGGCAGTGACTCTCAGTGGCCACAGGATTCAGGAACTCCTTGGAGCAGAGCAGGCAATAGTGGCAGTCTGCCTTATGGGTGTGGTGGTTCAAGGGGCCTTCCGACTGGCAGGTCTTACCACAACGGCAGCAGGAAAAGGGGTGGCTCTCTGGTTGGAGCTGAGGGGTGCTGTCTCTATTGTCCCAGCTGTCCACATGACCAGGTCCATTGGGCTGGCTGTTGCCAAGGTGGCAAGAACTTATGGGGACACTGTCTGCTGACTCGTCTTCTGGCTTGGTCAGTACATGACCCCGAGGAACCCAATCTCCATCATGATTCACCGGTCCCCTATCTCCTTGCCATCCATCCGTTTGCCCCATGCCCCAGGATACTGGCTCTGTGGCTTCTGAACCTGCTGACCTGCTGGGGCTATGACTCTGCTCCCCTGGCCTCATGGCTCCACACTGCAGCTGGGGAACTGACTCAGTACCACCAGATCTGTCCTCTAGTCCCTTGTCATCAGCGAGGTTCCCCTTGCTGCCCTCTGTGCCACCAGGACCTCCCTGACCACTTTTGGTCTCCTCCTCATGCTCTCGCAAGTGCCGCTCCAGAGAACCCCGGCCCGGGAAGCCCTGGCCACAGAGGGCGCAGCGGACAGCTGCCCGCCGGGCCCGCCCTGCTCGCCGCCGCCGGCTCTCTGCGTGTAGCTTCTGGTGGTCCTTCAAGGCCACGAGGTTGGAGTAGGTCTTGGGACAGGTGGGGCAGCTGTACGGGCCCGTCTCAGGGCTGCACTGGTGGTTCAGGAGGCTGCCGGCATGGCGGTAGTTCCGCCCACACTGCCCACACCGGAAGGGCCAATCTTCCCGAGCCAGTTTTCGGGTGCCCCCACCGCCACCTCGCTCGAGGTGGATCCGCTGGTGGTTAGCCAGCTGTTTCCGCAGGCGGAACGCCTTCCCACAGTCCCCGCAGCGGAAACGCCGGGGATCTGCATGGATGCGCCGGTGGTTCTTGAGGGACATGAGGTTCGAGAAGCCTTTGGAGCAGGCCTGGCAGCCAAAGTGGCCGGTCTGGTGGCTCTGCCGGTGGTTAATGAGGCTGCCGGCGTGCTTGTATGACCGGCCACATACCTCGCAGCTGAAGGGCCGCTCAGAACTGGCCTCGGTCTGGCAGCCCTTCTCCGCAGTCTCCAACCTCAGCCCCATCTCCTCCCCCTGCAGAGTGGGCTCCTTCCATGGCTCTTCTTTCACCCTTGCCACCTCCTCTGGGGGCTCTATTTTAATTTCCTCCTGGAGCTTCTCCACTTCCGCCTGCCCCAGCCCCTCCTCTGCCACGTTCTGGGGCTCACTGCCGCCTCCGGCCTGTGGGGCGGGCCCCACCTGGGGCTCAGAGCCTTTGCAGCGTGGGTGGTTTCGCAGGTGATTGCGGTAGGCAGCCAGGTTGGGGTAGCAGCGGGAGCAGACAGGGCAGATGTAGTCTCCAGTCTGGTGGATCTTGCGATGGTTCACTAGGCTGCCCCCATGGCGATAGGTTTTGCCGCACTGATTGCAGCGGAAGGGGCGGGGCTGATCCTCCAGGGAACTTTCCCCGCCCTGCACGCAGAGGCTGTCTGCAACCCGAGCACCTACTCCCTCTCCAGACTGTGTGTCTCCACCTTCTGCAGGGAGAGAAGTCACTGTGCCCTCAAAGACGCCATCTGCAACCGTTTCCGTGTTATCACCCGACTCTCCCAAGTGGTTCGGAGCCTTCTCTGTCGTGTCCCCAGAACTCCGATTTTGGTGGTGACGCTCCAGGCTCCCTAGGTCATCATAGGTTTGACCACAGCACCCACAGATGTGCCCATAACCGGCTCCATCCAATGCTTCCACCTCACGCTGCAGCTGATTCAACAGCTCTGTTTCTGAGAGCTGTAGTGGGGTACTATGGGTGGAGGCTGCCACTGCTGCTGCTTCATCTTCCCCCTCCTCCTCCGAGCCCTCAGTCAGTCCAGAGGAGTCATGAGCCTGGCGCCGGTGAAGCCTGTAGCCAGCCCGCCCAGGGAAGATCATGCCACAGAGGCAGCAGAGGAAAGGCTGTGCTGGGGCTGCCTCCCCAGGCCTGTGGTTCTGGAAGTGGCTGCGCAGGGCAGGCAGAGAGTCAAACTCCTTCGGGCAGAGGGAGCACTGATAGATGTCTGGTGGGTGGCAGGGCCTGTGGCTCAGCAGGCCAGTGGCATGGGGGAACGAATGCCCACAGTCAGAACATGTGTGGGAGACCTCAGCCTGCCAGCTAGTGACAGCTTCAATCGAGTGGGAAGAGCTGGGCTGGCCAGTGGCTGGTTTCTGCTCTTCATCCACCCCAGGGAGGCCATCACAGAAGCGTGTCCCATTGCTTTCCTCATCACCTGGCATTTCCAAGTTGTCAAGAAAGCAGGCCTCCTTCCTGTCTAGTCCTTCCTCAGGACCTCTGCTCCCTTTATCACCCTGGAAACAGGCCTCATCCCTTTCAGGCTCACATTTGTCTCTTTCAGCATGAGCCTGCAAAGAGCCCCCATCACTTTCCAAGTTGCTTTCGGCTCCACTAGGACTTTCCTCTGAGGGGCCCTGGGGACAGTCCAGGCCCTCCTTGTCTTCTACCAACTCCTGGGCCCAGTTCCCACCTGAAGGGAGTTGGGCTTCTCCCCCACCCCCAGCACTGCCAGTCCGCCTCCAGGGCCGCCTGCTCCGCCGCCGACTGTGGCGTCGTAAATGGTTCTTCATGGCAGCCATGGTGTGGAAGTGCTTGGTGCAGGCCCCGCAGCTGAAGTCCCCTGTCTGATGGGTCTGCCTGTGGTTGATAAGGCTGCCTGAGTGGCGATAGCTCTTTCCACAGTCCCGGCAGGCAAATGCCCGAGGAGGTGACACCCTGGCCTCTGTCCTGCTATTCCCCCCTTCTCCCTGGGTCCGGCTGTGATGCTCACGGCTCTCAGGATCTTCAAAGAGCATCCCATGCGTGTCGCGTATCTGTGGTGCTGTCGTATCTGCTACTGGGGGGACATCAGTGGCCTTCTCTTCTTGTTTGCACCCGGTCCCTTGATCTGTACATGGGGCTGCCTTTGCTCCCACTGAGTCAGACTCCACCTTGAGTTGGCTGGGGGGACCTTCAGCCCCTGGGCCTGTGCTGCGGCGAGCGGACTTGCAGTGGACCCGCACGTGGTTGCGCAGGGCCATAAGGTTGGGGTACTTGCGGGGACAGAGCGAGCACTGGTACTCTCCTGTCTGATGGCTGTGGCGGTGGTTCACTAAGCTCCCCCGGTGGCGGTAAGCCCGACCACATTCATTGCACTTATAGGGGCGGTGGTCCAGGGTGGCGGTGGGAACCTCTCTCTCTTTGTGGGTGGTCTCCGTCAGAGGCAAAGGAGGTGGCAGCTCGGATGGCTGCCCATCCTCTGTAGCTCCTTGCCGGGGTCTGTGATGAGCCCGCACATGGTTTTTGAGAGCAGCTGCATTGTACAGCTGCTTGGAACAGATGGAGCAAGGATAGACACCTGTCTGGTGACTCTTGCGATGGTTGATAAGGCTCCCAGCATGGCGGTAAGTACGGCCACAGTCCCCACAGCGGAAAGGTCGGTACTCCTCCAGCCCACTGTCCTCTAGCTCCCCAGAGACGCTGAGTTCCCCAGAGCCGTTCAGCATCGGTGTACTAGGGAGCTGATCCCAGCTGCTCTCGTCTGTGTGCCCATTGGTGGTGGGCATCCCTTTCTCTTCCCACAGCTGCTCCTGTCTTTCTCCCTCATGGGATTGCTGGTGTTCCAGCAGGTCTTGGGGCAGCCGAAAGGCACGGGGGCAGTGAGGACATTGGTAAGGCCGATATTGGGCATGGAGTCGGGAGTGGTTCTTCAGAGCCATGAGGTTAGAGAACTCCTTAAAGCAAATGGTACAAGGGTAGATGCCCACGGTGTGGCTCTGGCGGTGGTTGGTGAGGCTCCCCGCGTGCTTATAAGTCTTGCCACACTGACCACACTTGTACCGCCGTTCCTCCTCTGCAGGAGAGGACTGGGTGGGCTCCTGACCCTCCGTGAAATTCACCACTGACTCAGCCAAATACTGTTCCAAGTTGCTAAGGAGGCTGCTGGCTGGAGTGGAGAGCAGTGGGGCCCTGGCAGAGTTGGTGATGGATCCCCAGCCCTCCGCACCCTCCTCAGGATTTGGCTGGCTTTCCCAGTCTTGTCTTTGTCTGATGGGTGGATCTTCCCAGGTGTCCAGAGCTGCCCCGGGGTCAGGCCCAGATTCACAGCCAGGTGTCTCTTCGGCATGTTTTTTCTGATTCTCCCAGCTTTCCCCATGGCCAAACCTCTGGCCCCAAGAGTCAGTGGACACTGTCTCCCCCTGGAGGCGTGGAGTGGCTTCCTTGGGGCTTCCCTCAAGAGCATGAGTCCTCATGTGGCTCTTGAGGGCCATGGGATTGATGAAGTTCTTGCCACAGCTGGTACAGGGGAAAAGGCCAGTTTCATGGGTACAGTGGTGGTTGACCAAGCTTCCTGGGTGACGGTAGCCCTGCCCACACTGCTGACAGCGGTAGGGCGGAGGGATATTATCAGCCTCCTCACTGTCCTGGCCGGAGGATGGATGGAGCAGTTCACGGTGTTTTGACAGTTCCAGGACACTAGGAAAATGGTGCTGACAGTCACAGCAGCTGAGTGAGGTGGGCACATCCTCCATGGGGCAGTGTGGCAGAAACCTGGAGGGTCAGGAGGAGCAGGCAGGTGGCAGAGGCATCTTCTTCTGGTGGTGCCCAAAGCCTAGGAAGAAAGGGCAGTGGTGAGAAGGAAGGCCTGAATTAACTTTATCTCTTGGCTGTATAAGCAACAAGTTCACCAGAGGTCACAGAGAGGTTCCCCACGCAGCAATGCCCAGGGACCTGCTTCCTACTGGATCTAATCTGGAAGCACCATCAGGTAAGGCAACTCTGTACACAAACTCCCCAGATGTGGGAGCTTCCCTGGGCCTAACTCATCCCTAGAGGTAGAGATAGGGAAAGTCTAGAGCAGTGGTTCTCAACCTTCCTAATGCCGTGACCCTTTAATAGTTCCTCATGTTGTGGTGACCCGCAATTTCATTATTACAAATTGAACATAATTAAAGCATAGTGATTAATCACAAAAACAATATATAATTATATATGTGTTTTCCGATGGTCTTAGGCAACCCCTGTAAAAGGGTCGTTTGACCCCCAAAGCGGTCGCGACCCACAGGTTGAGAACCGCTGGTCTAGAGGGATGTAACTGCCTTCTGATCGCAGACCTATTAACCTGTTCTTCAGACCAAATCCAAAAGGTCTTACTGCCCCTAACCTTCTCTCTATGATTCTGAAACAAACAACGTTATCTCCTGTGACATCTTAAAAGGAAACCTGAACCTTTTCTAGGGCTCTGAACAAGAGATGTCCAGTCCTTACCCCTCAGCTAAGCAGAGTAGCCCAGAGGCACTGAAAGAGCAGTCTTTCTCCAGCTGACAGAGGAGGGCCTGAGAGATGAAGTCAGGGCCGCCCTCAGAGAAGGGGCTGGCTTGTGCCCCCACGTCCCCTATTCCTTTCACGGTCACAAAGTCTCCTTTCTAAAAGACTTTCTTGGCCGCTTCTTTCACCTACTTCCCCTGAACCCAAACTATCCCCCATCACGGAAATTCCATCCCATTTCTGGTCGTTCTTCACCCTCTCTACCTTTTTCCTTCTGACACCTCCTCGCTATAGCCTCGCTGCTGCCCTTCTGTTCTTCTTCTACCTCCTCTCATAATACTGATGACAGCAATGCATGCTAATTGAGCATTACCGCGGATCGAACACTGTGCTAAATAAAGAATATCCATTGTGTCACTTACTCCCCGCAACACACGGCAATGCCTGCTGTCCCAGGATACACACGAGCAAACCCACTGATGCAGGCAACCTCCTTCCCAAAGCTCTTGCCCTCTCCATGGCAGGACCCCGTGCCTTCTCCATCACCTGGGCTTTCCGACGGATCCTTTACTTCCGCTGGACCCCAGTACAACTATCGCCGACTAAACCCCCCCTCACTGAACCTGCTCCCCGAACTCTCACTTCTCAAAGCCCCTTCGCTCAAGAGTGAATGCCCTGTCTTGATCGTTTGAGCTCCTGATCAAACGAGTCCTCTCGCCTCACTCATCTTCTCGGCCGGTTTCCTCTTAAGGCCCCTACCTCACACGGGTGGCCCCTTCTCGTTCCCGCCGCGGGTGCGTCCGTTGGGGACCGCGAACGGGAGCGCGCCTGCGCACTGGGACCCTCACCCTAACTGCAGCCGTGCGCCCCAAGGGGTGGCTGTGGGGGGCTCTCGCGCTCCCACACACGCACACTCCGCCAGGGGGTCCCAGGGGGTGGGGAGGGGAGGGGGAGAGGGAAGGGAGAAGCGGGAGAAGGAAGGAGGTAGAGTAAAAAGGGCGCAGCTGACACGAGCCAGGAGTACCCCCGGCTCCGCGGACACTTCCTATTGTTACTAGGAAACAGGAAGTGTTCTAGCCGCAAAAGCTTCCCCGCGAAACCTCCTCCTGGAGAACACTTCCTGACCCGCCTCCAAGCACCCGGTCTACACAGACACACTTCCGGTGCCAAGCAAGAAGTCGCTACAAACGCTCCTCTGGCCCCGCCCACGCAGGTCAAAGAGCAGGTCGTTTCTTATAACCTTAGCCACACTTCCGGCAAGAGCAGCGAGCACGGGTCTGGTGCATCTTGGCTGAGCGAGGATGAGGGAAAAAGGGCTCTGCAGCCATAACCTCAGTACTTTGGTGACACTTTTCGTGGGGCTCCCTGAAAAACTCCTCAAGATAGATGGAGGGAGCTTTATGCACTCCTCGCTGTGAAGGGAAATGTGGTGGAATATGAGGATTTAGGCACTACAAGCTTGATCATGGCCTGTCCTCCCAGCTTATAGTTGTTGGTGATCTGGCCCCGAACTAGCAGGATCCCGGTGTACATAGTAAGCCTGTCCGGCGTCCCCTGCCCTTAGCACCCACAGTGACCCCCCTGCAATTTAGTCCTCTGCCACCTCGATGAGCTTCGCTTTCTTCCCAGTCGGTGAAGCTCCCTTCCACTTCCGCCCGCCGGTCCCGCCTCTCCGCCCTCCCCCCCCACCCCCCCGCTGGGTCCTAGCGCCGGCCCCTCCCTGGCAGAGTCTGGGGCTCCGTTGGTGAGACGAGCTGTAGCGGACGCCACGGAGCCAGCCCAAGTCCGTCAGGTAGGAAACGCCGGCGGGAAGCCGCGGGGACCCCCAGGCGTCCCCAGCGCGGACGAAACCCGAACGGACCTGCTTCCCTGTGGGTGCCGAGGGCGGATGGGGTTGGCCTGGCGGGAGCAGCGCAGGCGGGGCGGGAGGAGTGCGGCCCCGGGAGGGCGCGGGCGCGCTCCGGGCCCAGCGGGTCCTAGAACCCGCCGGCTGTCCTCGCGGACCGGCTGTCCTCACGGGCCGGCTGCTGCGGACGCCCGGGCTCCGCCGGCGCGGCTGCCCGCCTTGCGCGGTGCGGGCCCGGGGGTCCTAGAGCCCGCCACGTTGCGGGCTTTTGTCCCTGGCGCGCCGCCCGCCTAGCGAGAGCCGCGGCGCCGGCGGCCCCCTCCCTGGCCGAGGTCCTGGCCACCCCTCCCGCGGTCCTAGAGAACGCCATTTTGCAGGTCTTTGTCCGGCCCCGGCTCTCGGTCCCATTCATTTGTTCATTCTCTCATTCTTTGTCACCCCTTGCCACATTCTCCAAGGCCACGTTTCCCAGGGCTCATTCCGAGACGAGGCAGCTCGGGGCCCTGGCCTGCGCGGCTGTCTGGCGGGGGCGCAGACACAGACGGTTGCGGGGGGCGAGAAGCGCAGCGCTTCTGCAGCTCTCGGCTCCTCGGCGCGCCTGGTAGGCCCTGGCGCTCTCCAAACCCCCACCTGCCTCGGAGAAGACCCGGGCCTGGAGCGCCGTGGCGCCCCTGCTTCTACTGCCTGTTACTGGGGGAACCGGTACTGATGGGAAGGATGCAAAAGAGTTTTCCCAGGAGCGAAGGCAAACCGAGGCAGAGGGCAGTGCAGGTGGAGATGCATCCAGGTGGGGAAGTTTGAGAATGGTGGCTGGAGCTCAGGTTGCTGCAGGGAGGGGGAAACACGCTGAGCTGAGGCTGGAAACGTGGGTTGGGGTTAGGTTGTGAACTGACCAGATTGGAGGCCTAGGAGATCCTTAACTCTCACCTCTGCACGCACTGTTCATGCTTACACGTCTGCCGTCTCCCCGAGTCTGTGAGGCCTGTGGGTGACATGTTTAGACATGGAGACGGAGCTGCAGGGACCATAAAAAGTGGCTCCTTTCTCACCTCATCCCAGCTCCCAGGCTCCTAGCCTAGACTCTCTGGGAATGAAGCCTCTGACTCCCGTTCAGGCAGCAGGACTTCATCCCTCTCCTAAGCCAGCAGGGAAGCAAAGACAGCCTTCCTCACTAGAGCGGTGAAGCCGTGTGGGAAACAGGCCTGATGCTATTTGGACCTTGGGAACTTGGACAGCAGAGAAATCCAGTTAATAAATAGTTGTTGATGGACAGTCTCACACATGCCTACTGAGGGGAAGGCAGAGGCTCTAGGCCTGGGTCTGAACTGTGTCTCAGAGGTTGAGTCTTTGCGTTTGTTTTGGGGCGCTAGTCACAGTTCTAGGTGTAGTGGATACAGAATAAGAAAGGCTCCCGGCTCTTCGCTAGCCTAGATTCTTGTGCTGGAGACAGAGAGTTAACCACTAAGCCATAAAATGTGTAAGTGCTATCAGGGGATGGAGAGCAGAAGTTTGGGAGGCAGACCACCTAGCTTTGAATACTGGCTATGACTATCACTGCTTCATTTCTGTGTGCCTCGGTATCCTTGTCTGTTTAACTTAGCCTGTTCAGGCTACCGTAGCGAAAACACAGACTGGGGGGCTTAACCAACAGAAACTTATTTCTCACAATCCTGGAGGCTGGGAAGTCCACGATCAAGGTGCTGGCCAGTTCCTGGTGAGGACTCTTTTCCTGGCTTGCAGGCATGCACACATTCAGTCTGTAACAAACTTCTCCAGCGGTTCTCAACCTGTGGGCCGCGACCATGGGAAAACACATATAGCATATCAGATATTTACATTACAATTCATAACAGCAGCAAAATTGCAGTTATGAAGTTGCACTGAAAATAATTTTATGGTTGGGGGTCACCACAACATGAGGAACTGTGTTAAAGGGTCGCGGCATTAGGAAGGTTGAGAACCACAGTTGTGAGACTTAGCTTGAGTAGTACACGTAAAATTCTCAGAACGGTACCTGGCTGGTGCTAAGCTTGCAAGAAGGAACGCTATCCATGGGAGCACCGTAACGGAAATTAAAGAGGGGGGAGGAGACTGGTCAGCAGGGGCGCCCACAGCCTTCAGAAAGGTGGTCTGGAAAGCCTTCTTTGAGAAAGTGACAGGGACCTGAGACCCAAATAAAACCAAAGAGATAGCTACACAAAGATCCTTGGGGGAGAGTGGTTCTCGCAGAGGGTACTGTGTGCAAAGGCCCTGAAGGAAGAAGGAATTTAGCTCTTTGAGGTAAAGAAAGGGAGCAGGTGTGGGTGGAGCTTAGTGGGACAGGGAAGAGGAATGGAAGTTGAGGGAGGCAGGAGTTAGACGGTTCAAGCCTTGCTGGCCATGAAAGGAATATTGGTCTTTGCCCTTGGAACAGTGGAAAGTCTCATGGTTTGGCTAATACGTCTTCAGGAAATGAAGACTGCTGGCGAAAGAGCCCGGCCCAGAGACCTGAAGACTCGGTTTGAGTCAGGGCTCCTTGACAGCTGTGTGTTCTGGTGCAAGTTTTTCCCTCTGGGGCGTAATCTGCACCTCTGAAAGCAAGGCAAAGTAAAAACGCCTTTCTCCTAAAAGCTTGTGAAGACTTAAGGATGTGTCTTTGGTTCCTAAATGTTGAGTGTTGATTGGAATGACCCAGAAAGTGTGTTCACAGGAAAGTTTCTGTCCTGCCCCACACTCCCTGGATGGTTATTCTCATACCGGGGGCTCACAGACCTGACTTGGAGGAACCCCACCGTAGGGAGTGGTAGGTGAGAGTCCTCACTGAACGGTGAAGCGAGGAGATAATTTGACAGGGGCCTCGCCGACCTGGCCCTCTGCTCTTCATGGAGCTGGGTGCCTGCTGGGACCAACCTGGTGCCGCCACTTGTCCCCTGGGCAGTGCCTTAGGAGTGGTTTACCCATCCAGCTACCTGGTTTCTGGCTCACAGATAGGAAGACAGGCCCAGAGGTCAGAATCCATGGGTCCTGCCTCTGAGAGGGAAGCAGACATATAGGGACTGGCTCTGGTCTCCGGCGGTTCTACAGGGATAAGAGAAGACAAAGGGGCAACCTGAGCTCAGAGTCCAGCCCCTGTGGGGCCGGCCCAGGGGGCAGACAAGACTGTGAGGGCCCAGATCACTGAGTAAGGACCCAACCACTCAAGGCGAGTGAAACAGCTAGATTCAACTCCCAGCTGCGGATTACTAGGTGTGGCCACGGGCTAGTTATTTAGCACAATGCCATTTTTTTCTCTGGGCCACAGTTCTCTTATCTGTGAAAAGGGAATAATAATAGTACTTTTCTCATGGTGCGGGCAGGAAATTGAAGTGAGTTAATACATGTAAAGAGCTTAGGATACTGCCTGTTATTTAGCAAGTGCTTTGTAAATGTGAGCTATCGGTTTTTTTATTAAAGAGAAACTTTATCAGTCAGGCTGTCCAGAGATGGTCTGAAAGGAGGTAGTGAGTGCCTCATCCAGGGATAGGAAGAGATCCCCTGGAAACTCGAGATCCCCTGGAAAGTTGATCCTCAAACCCTTTAACTCACTTTCCAGCCCCAGAATTTAGTGGGAAAAGTGAAAAAAACAACAAGGTGATGGTGGAACAGCGTTGAGTGGGATTGGCGCCAGAAACCAAAGCGGAGATGCAGGACGAGCTTCCTGGGCGAAGTGGGGCTCAAAGGCAGGATTGATGGGATTTGTAACAGCCAGGAAGGACCTGGGAACTTGCATGGCGTGCTGGAAGCCATGGAAAGTTCTTGAGTGTCACACAGTGCTTCCGGGAGAAGACGCTGGCTGCCTGTGCACACCCGACTGTGTGTGTAGGGGTGGGGACTGAGGCAGGCCCACCGGGCAGAAGGGTGCTGACTCTAAAGATGCAGCCCGTGCCACTCACTCCGGGGCTCCAGTGTCCTCCCCGGGCCGTAACGCAGAAGCCACCAAGCCCCGAGGCGTACGGACAGGGAAACAGGCTTAGAAAGGAACACGAGAAAGAACTCAGGCCCCCTACCTCCCAACCTCACTTCTGGGCACTCCAGCCTCCCTTTCCCATAGCAGATCCTCACCCCCACCCAGGCTGCCCCCAGCAGCTGCTGCTGCGCACTCCTTAAGTGGATCTGCCGTAATCCTCTCCCTTCATCCCCCAGGGAGGATGAGCTGGTGTTAGGGCTAATGCAGCTGTTAATCCTGTTTCCTTCCGGCCATGACCCACAGGAGCAGCTGTGTGGACGGTGTCTGGCTCTGAACCGAGAATGAAGGGGCCTCCGCTAGAGTGGGTGTCCCGGGAAGCCAGATCAGATACACTGATTTTGACTCAGGGGCTTCTAACTGCTAGCAATGGTTCAAGCTGCCTTGAGAGTGACTGAGCTTCCTATGACCAGAGCTAGGGGAGCAGGAGCCCACAGTGATTCCAGAGCAGGGGTGGGCCAGGATTCCTGTCTGGGGTGGAGTCCCTTATAGCGGTGCAAGGCCAGAATTCTGTGCGACCGTTGCTGCCTCTGAAAGCTAACCCACCAGAGTGGAAAAACAAAATGCATATGCTGGGGCCTTCCACTTCCAGACAGACGGTGCCAATCACCACAGCGAGCCCACTGGTTTTGCCCTCTCTTGGGCCTACCTCTGCCTTTCCTGGGCACTTGGAGACGTTCAGGCCAGACCCCCATCTGGGTAGTCTCGATGTCTGCAGCCTTGCATAGGACCCTGCATCCTGGCACAGGCCTTGGAGGCTGAGCTGAAGGAGGAGGATGGTGAGAGGATGGGACAGGGTGTTCTGGGAATGCCACAGGGTCTGGAAAAGCTCGGGCCGGGGAATCAAGGGCAGGCAGACATTTTGATGAACCGAGCCTCCTCCCTTCGTCTTTCTGAAGTCACCCAGTCCAACTCCTGCATCAGTGAGCAGACCAGAGAGGAAACTTGGGCACACTGTTAGAGCCGGAATGTTTGAAGGCAGGATGTGGCCCTCCCGGGTGGGAAGTGCAGATAAGTTGGGGTTCCCACTGAGGCCCCATGAGGGCTTTGGTGACAGGAGAGGCCTTGGAGAATGGCGGAGGGATGTGGCTTCTGTCTAACTTTGCTTCTCTCACAGAGCTTTGCCCATCGAGGCCATGGAGGTGGAGACTGTGGAGGCCCGGTCCCCAGGCCCCGGCTACAAGCGTTCGGGCCGCCGCTACAAGTGCCTGTCCTGTACTAAGACGTTTCCAAATGCGCCCAGGGCAGCACGCCACGCTGCCACACATGGGCCTGTAGACTGCGCGGAGGAGGTGGCGGAGGCGAAGCTGAAGCCAGAGACGGAATCTAAAACAGAGGATGCCGGCGGGGACAAAGGGTCAGGCGCAGCGGCCAAGCCTCGGCCTTACGCATGCCCACTGTGCCCCAAGGCCTACAAAACAGCCCCGGAGCTGCGCAGTCATGGGCGCAGCCACACGGGCGAAAAGCCCTTCCCTTGCCCCGAGTGCGGCCGCCGCTTCATGCAGCCTGTGTGCCTGCGCGTGCACCTGGCCTCGCACGCTGGCGAGCTGCCCTTCCGCTGCACGCACTGCCCCAAAGCCTACGGCGCGCTCTCCAAGCTCAAGATCCACCAGCGGGGCCATACGGGCGAGCGGCCCTACGCCTGCGCCGACTGCGGCAAGAGCTTCGCGGACCCTTCTGTGTTCCGCAAGCACCGGCGCACGCACGCCGGCCTTCGGCCCTATGGCTGCGAGCGCTGCGGCAAGGCCTACGCGGAGCTCAAGGACCTGCGCAACCACGAGCGGTGAGGGCGGTAGGGGGTTGGGAAGAGCGGGTGTGTGTGGGGGGGGGGGGGGCGGGGAGCAGCAGGGGCTGCTCTGTGACCAGCGTGGCCTGGGCTGGGTCTGAAGGGCAGAATGAGCCAATGGGAAGGTGAGTGGGAGGGAGCTATGGGTGGTGGTAAGCAGCAGATTGGTCGGGTTGGTTGGTCGGTGGACCGGACTTGAGGGGGCGGGGCAGACTGATTTGGGATGGGGCCCTGGAGGATGCTAGTGGGGTCTGATAGGCCTGGGTTCCTGGACATCAGGAAAGGGGCAGGGCTTGAAGTTGGGTCACTCATAGGGTCTCCGGTAGAGCACAGGCTCTGTGAATGGGACCTGGTAAGTCTAGGGCTTTGGGTGCAGAGAGGAGTCTTTTCTGGGATCTAGATACCCCAACAGAAGGTTTCTCACTCTGGGGTACAGCTCTGGTCTTAGGGGGTTGGGCCAAGGCCCCCTGGATGTTAGGGCCCCCTAACTTAACCGTGCAGATGGCGGCAGGGTCAGGTGATGGGCCTGCCACCTTCATGCCGTCCCCACACTCCCGCAGGTCCCACACCGGAGAGCGCCCCTTCCTCTGCTCCGAATGCGGGAAGAGCTTCTCGCGTTCATCCTCGCTCACGTGCCACCAGCGCATCCACGCAGCACAGAAGCCCTACCGCTGCCCCGCCTGTGGCAAGGGCTTCACCCAGCTCAGCTCCTACCAGAGCCACGAGCGCACGCACTCTGGCGAGAAGCCCTTCCTGTGCCCGCGCTGCGGTCGCATGTTCTCTGACCCCTCGAGCTTTCGGCGCCACCAGCGGGCGCACGAGGGCGTGAAGCCGTACCGCTGCGAGAAGTGCGGCAAGGACTTCCGGCAGCCGGCGGACCTGGCCATGCACCGCAGGGTGCACACCGGCGACCGGCCCTTCAAGTGCCTGCAGTGTGACAAGACGTTCGTGGCTTCCTGGGACCTTAAGCGCCATGCGCTGGTGCACTCGGGCCAGCGGCCCTTCCGCTGCGAGGAGTGCGGACGAGCCTTCGCCGAGAGAGCCAGCCTCACCAAGCACAGCCGAGTGCACTCCGGTGAGCGCCCCTTCCACTGTAACGCCTGCGGGAAGTCCTTCGTGGTGTCCTCCAGCCTGAGGAAGCACGAGCGGACCCACCGAAGTAGCGAGGCCACCGGGGCTCCCCCGCCGCAGGAGCTGGTGGTGGGCCTCGCACTGCCGGTCAGCGTGGCAGGCGAGGGCTCCGTGGCCCCAGCGGCAGGTGCAGGGCTCGGGGACCCTCCAGCAGGGCTGCTAGGGCTGCCCCCAGAATCAGGCGGTGTGATGGCCACCCAGTGGCAAGTGGTGGGCATGACGGTGGAGCACGTGGAGTGCCAAGATGCTGGGGTGGGGGAGGCTCCTGGTCCCTTGGAGGGCACAGGCGAGGTGGGGGGTGAGGAGGTGGACGAGAAGCCTCCGCAGTTTGCGTGCCGGGAGTGCAAGGAGACGTTCTCCACGCTGACGTTGCAACGAAGGCATGAGCGCTCACACCCCGAGCTCCGGCCCTTTCCCTGCACCCAGTGTGGCAAGAGCTTTTCAGATCGGGCTGGGCTGCGCAAACACAGCCGCACACACAGCTCTGTGCGCCCCTACACCTGCCCCCACTGCCCCAAGGCCTTCTTGAGTGCCAGCGACCTACGAAAGCACGAACGCACCCACCCTGTGCCCATGGAGACCCCCACACCTCTCGAGCCCCTTGTGGCTTTGCTAGGAATGCCTGAAGAGGGGCCAGCCTGAGGCCCATGGCCCTTCCCTCTGAACTCCCAGGAGTTCCACCCCCACAGGTGCCTCCTGAACCTCCCTTTGCCCAGCTTACTCTTCTAGACTCCACATCCCTGCCCCCCCCCTCCCCCCGTAGCCAGCTTACCTTCCCAACAGAGATCTGGGGACAGTGGAGGCGGGCACCTGCTGTTCAGAGGCATGGCTCTGTGAGTAACACATTAAAGCATTCACTTTGACCCTGGGTTGTCTCCTGTGTTCTAGTTGGGGTTTGGAAGGGAGTTTGGGCATTAGATAAGGTTCATTGCAGATTCCTAGATTGACAGATTAGAAGCTAGAAGGGTCTTTGGGTGCATTTTTTTCAAAGTATATTTTAGAATGCCTTGTGACAAAGGGTTTCATGGTCAAGTAAGTACAGGAAATTCCCTGTGCCTTTCTTGGGGATTCTTGATCAAAAGTGTGTTAAAGTCATTCATAAGTCCCGCAATGAACAAATCTATTTAGCTTTGTTTATCCCATATTTATATAACCATGGAAACCTTTTACTAAGTAGTTCTTCTATCCTTTTTACAGAGAATAAACTGAGGCCCAAAATTAGTATATTCCTTATACACTGCAGTAATAAATTGGAAGATATACTTGAAAAAAAGGGGGTCCCCTTTACAATTACAATACCCATAAACTACAAAGTAAGAAGCCTCACAGGAAACAGGGAGAACCTATATGAAGAAAATGCTCTCTCCAGAAGGATATAAGACATACCATGTACCTAAATGGGAAGACATTAAAAGATGTTGGCCTTAGCCAGTTTGGCTCACTGGATAGAGCATTAGCCTGTGGACCGAAGGGTCCCTGGTTCAATTCTGGTCAAGGGCACATGCCTTGGTTGCAGGCTTCTTTCTGGCCCGGGCCCTCATTGGGGCACATGCAGGAGACAACCAATTGATGTGTTTCTCTCACATTGATATTTCTCTATGTCTTTCCCTCTCCCTTCCACTCTCTAAAAAAAAACTATGGAAAGATATCCTTGGGTGAGGATTAAAAAAAAAAAAGATGTTGGATTCTCCCCAGCTTAATGCTTAAATTCATTGCTATCCAAAAAGGGTTTTTAATAGAACTTGAAAATTGAAAGTTCCTATGCAATACATTTTTAAAAAACAGTGGAGGTGATGTGTTTACATACTGGATAATCAGACACCACAGCACTGGAGTAAAAACAATTGGCACAAGATAAATTAGTGGAGGGGGGAGAGGGTTCAGAAACAGCCCTAACTATTTCTGGAAATTTGTGATAAAAATGATTATTCAAACTGGTGGGAAAAGATAGGCTGTTAAATAGCTTTACAGTTATATCTGTACTCTGAAAGGTTACACATCTTTCTTTTAAAAATATATTCTATTGATTTTTTTTTTTTATTACAGAGAAGAAGGGAGAGGGATGGGGAGTTAGAAGCATCGATGAGAGAAACATCAATCAGCTGCCTCCTGCACACCCCCTACTGGGGATGTGCCCGCAACCAAGGTACATGCCCTTGACCAGAATCGAACCCGAGACCCGTTAGTCTGCAGGCCGACGCTCTATCCACTGAGCCAAACTGGTTAGGGCTACACATCTTTCTAAGCAATTTTTCAAAGACCAAAATAAATAAAAATGAGGCTTCACATTTAGTGTAACTTGGTACAGCCTATTGGGAAAATGATTTGATTATATTTATAAAAAAGTTAAATGGAGCCCTAGCGGGTTTGGCTCACTGGATAGAGCGTTGGCCTGCGGACTGAAGGGTCCCGGGTTCAATTCCGGTCAAGGGCATGTACCTTGGTTGCAGGCACATCCCCAGTAGGGGGTGTGCAGGAGGCAGCTGATCGATGCTTCTCTCTCATAGATGTTTCTAACTCTCTATCCCTCTCCCTTCCTCTCTGTAAAAAATCAATAAAAAAAATATTTTTTAAAAAAGTTAAATGGACATACCCTTTGGCTTAGCAAGTACACCTCAAGGATTTACACCTCAAATTTATTTTTCCACTTAAGTGGCAAAATTGAGGATAATGTTTAATACAGCAAAATTTGTGATACTGGGAACACCTTAAATGTCCATTAGCAAAGGACTAAGGCTAGCCACTGTAAAACATTGTGCAGCTGTTTAAGAAATGAGACTTATCAATCTATGTTTTTTAACAATATCTAAAAAGTATGTCAAATGAAAAAAAAGTGCAAAGCAGCATGGTTAGTATGGGCCAAATTACACAGAAGTGCTCAAGTTTCTATAGAATATTTCTAGAAGGATACTTAACTGATTTTGGACTATAAATTTCAGCCACTAAGGCTTTCCCCATTTATAAGCCAAAACAAAGTCAGAATGGACCAGGTCCTCTTCCATGCTTTTGTCATTTCTAGACTTGGGGCCACCAAGTTCGCAGCTTCCGGAAATGTGTGCAGTCTATCTCCAGGCCCATGTGCCAGTCACGAGGGACTTTGCAGCGGCTGGCTCTAGCCTAGGACTGGCATACCAGGTAGCGCCAGGAGTAGAAGTAGTGGGTAATCCCTTGATGTCAGGGGACAGACAGCATTGCCATGCCCATGCTTTGGAAAAGGTCCTCATTCCTGTTCTCTCTCTCTCTTTCTTTAAAATATATATTTTCATTGATTTCAGAGAGGAAGGGAGAGAGAGAGAAACACCAATGATGAGACAGAATCAGTGATCAGCTGCCTCCTGCACACCCTACACTGGACATGTGCCCTTGACTGGAAACAAACCTGGGACCCTTCAGTCCACAGGCCGATGCTCTTTCCACTGAGCCAAACCAGCTAAGACCTCATTCCTGTTCTTCATAGCATACGAAGGGGGCTTGTGGCAACAGCAGGGGCCAGCGTGTCATGACTGCGGAAGAGAGTCCTAGTTTGACCAAGGGCACGCACTGCCCACCCCCATACCCAGAGCAAGACAAGCACTGACCCCAGGCCTCCTGCCTGTTCAGGCTGGAGCTAAAGTCTGAAAGACGGGGTCCAAGAAAGAAACAAACTCAATGGGGCTGGAACAGAGGGACTTTGGTTACTACTACTGACTTGATTTGTGACCTTGAGCAAGATGATTTATCTTGGGAGTTGGGAAGGCATCTTTTAGACATTGGTACAAAGATACCATATATATTAATCAACAAGTATATTTGGGTATTTATCTACAATGAAGAAAAGAGTGGGTCTGGCCTAGACGACCTACTGACCCCTTGGTTCCCCTTCTCTGACACTCCAGGCATCCCATAGCCAGGCCTGCTTCCTGAGGACGCAAACAAGCTGACTTAAAAAAAAAAATTAACAGCCATATTAAGATGTAATTCATATACATACAATTAACCCATCTGAAGTGTATAATTTGATGGTCTTTAGTACAGTGGGGCCTTGACTTACGAGTTTAATTCGTTCCGAGACCGAGCTCGTTAACTCAAATTGCTCTATCAACTCAATGCAAAAAATCAGCAGAGAGACAGCTGGTATCTCAAAAAACTCGTTAGTCGGGACACTTGTAAGTCAAGGCCCCATTGCACTTTCACAGTGTTATGCAACCATCACAATCTAATTTTAGAATATTTTCATCCTCCTAAAAGAAACTCCATGCCCATTATGATCTCTCCCCCTCCCCCTGCCACACACACCCAGTTCCTCAGCCAGAGTCAACCACTAATCTTATATCTGTCTCTATGCATTCATCTATTGTGGACATTTCATGTAGGGATCATGCAATATTTGGTCTTTTGTTACTGGCTTCTTTATATTCTTAGCATAATGTTCTCAAGGTTCATATTGTTTTTCCTTTTGTCAAATAATATTCCATTTCATGGATATACCACTTTTATTTCTCCATTATCAGTGATTGGCAATGGGCTTCCATTTTTGTCAATTGTGAATAATGCTGCTCCTGAACATTCACATACAGGTTTTTGTGTGGACGTATTTTTCAGTTCTCTGTGTCTATGTCTGGGAGTGGAATTGCTGGGTCATACAGTTACTGTTGTTTAACCATTTGAGGAAGTGTCAGACTATTTTCTAAAGTGGCTGCACCATTTACATTCCCACCAACAGGGTATAAATGTTCAAATTTTTCCATATCTTCAGCAACAGTGTTTTCTGTCTTTTTTATTATAGCATCCTACTGGATGTGAATTTGTGTTTTGATTTTGCATTTCCCTAATGGCTAATGATGTTGAACATCTTTTCATGTATTTATTGGTTATTTTGTATTACCTTTGGATAATGTCTATTCAAGTCCTTTACCTATTTTTTTTGGTTGTTATTGTTAATCCTCATCTGAGGATATATTTTTTCCATTGATATTTCAAAGAGGGAGAGTGGAAGGGAGGAAGGGAGTGGGGAGAGAGAGAGAGAGAAACGTCAAACACATCGATTGGTTGACTCCTGCACGTCCCAGCCAGGGGTGGGGAGTGAACCCACAACCCAGGTACATGCTCTTGACGGGGAATTGAACCTGTGACCCTTCGGTGCCTGGGCCGATGCTCTAACCACGGAGACACACCGGCAAGGGCCTTTGCCCATTTTTTTAATTGGGTTGTTTGACTTTTTGCTATTGAATGCTAAGAGTTCTAGATACAAGTTCCTTACGATTTGCAAAAGTTCCTCTCCCATTGTGTGGGTTGTCTTTTTACTTTCTTGATGGTGTCTTTTGAAGCGCAAAAGTTTTACATTTTGATGATGTCCAATTTATTTTTTTCTTTTGTTGCTTGTGCTTTGACAGCCATATCTAAGAAATCATTTCCTAATCCCAGTCATGAAGACTTATGCCTGTGTTTTCATCTAAGAGTTTTATAGGTGTTTATAACCCAGTTATAAACTTACAAGTTTAAAAATTATAAACTATAACTGTTTTATAGCTAAGAGTGCTTAGATTTAGGTCTTTGATCCATTTTGATTCAATTTTTGTATATGGTTTGAGGTAGGAGGTCCAACTTCATTCTTTTATATGTGGATATTCAACTATCCCAGAACTCAATTGTTGAAAAGGCTTTTCTTTGCCCATTGACATCATTGTTGGTAATAAACTAACTGTAAATATGAGGGTTTATTTCTGAGCTCTCAGTTTTATTCCCTGAACGTGCCTGTATATCTTTCTTTAGGCCAGTACCACACTGTTGCGCTTGCTGTAGCTTTGTAGTACATTTTAAAATCAGGACCTGCGAGTCCTCCAACTTGTTCTTCTATTTCAAGATTATTTTTGTTTTTCTGGAACCCTG